ATTATAAATTAGTTGCTAAATTAGAAAAAACCTCTAACATGTGGTGTTAGCCCAGAAACCTAGTGTTGTGCGCGTTCTTGATACCGAAACCCCAACAGTCGGCAACCGTCGTTCCGTCCGTCCGTCCGTCCGTCCGTCCTGTCCGTTCCCGATCCCTCCCTCCGTCCGTCCCGTACCCGTCCCTCAGCCCTCGTCCGTCCGTACCGTCCCTCCCTCCGTTCCGTCTCCGGTCCCTCCTCCGGTCCCGCCGTCCCTCCCCCCTCCCGTATCCAGTCCTGGTCCGCGTCCGATCCGTCCGTCCGTCCGTCCCTCCCCTCCCTCCGTCCGTTCCGTCCGTCCGTCCGTCCTCCGTTCAGTGCCGTTCCCTCCGTCCGTCCGTCCCTCCGTCCGTCCCCTCCCGTTCCTCCGTCCGTCCCCGTCCGTTCCGCCCTCCGTCCGTCCGCCCCCTCCGTCCGGTTCGCCCGTTCCGTCGTCGCCCCTCCCGTTCCGTCCGCTCCGTCCGATCGTCCGTCCCTCCCGTCCGTCCCTCCGTCCCGTCCGTCCCTCCCGTCCTTCCGCGTCCCTCCGTCCGTCCGTCTGGTCCCTCCGTCCGTCCGTCCCTCCGTCCGTCCGTCCCTCCGTCGTCCGTCCTCCGTCCGTCCGTCCCTCCGTCCGTCCGGTGGCCTCCGTCCGTCCGTCCCTCCGTCCGTCGTCCCTCCGTCGTCCGTCCGTCCGTCCCTTCCGTCCGTCCGTCCGTCCCTCGCCCTCCGTCCGTCCCTTTCGTCCGTCCCTCCGGTCCCTCCCTGCCGTCCGGCCCCTCCGTCCGTCCGTCCCGTCCGTCCGTCCGTCCGTCCGTCCCTCCGTCCGTCCGCCCCTCCGTCCGTTCCGTCCCTCCGTCCGTCCGTCCCTCCGTCCGTTCCGTCCCTGCCGTCCGTCCGTCCGTTCCCTCCGTCCGTTCCGTTTCCCTCCGTCCGTCCGTCCTCCGTTCCGTCCGTCGTTCGTCCCTCCGATCCGTCCCTCCGTCCGTCCGTCCCTCCGTCGTTCCGTCCCTCCGTCCGGTCGTCCGTTCCCTCGGTCCGTCCGTCGTCCCGTCCGTCCTTCCGTCCGTCGTCGTCCGTGCCTCCGTCGTCCGTCCCTCCGTCCGTCGTCCTCCTCCGTCCGTCCCTCCGTCCGTCCGTCCCGCCGGCCGTCCGTCCCTCCGTCCCGTCCGTCCCTCCCGTCCGTCGTCCCTCCGTCCGTCCGTCCCTCCGTCCGTCGTTCCGTCCCTCCGTCCGTCCCTCCGTCCGTACCGTCCCTCGTCCGTCCGCTCCCTCCGTCCGTCCGTCTTCCGTCCGATCCGTCCCTCCGTCCGTCCGTCCCTCCGTCCGTCCGTCCTCCGTCGTCCGGTCCCCTCGTTCCGTCCGTCCCTCCGTCCGTCCGTCCCTCGTCCGTCCGTCCCTCCCGTCCGTCCCGTCCCTCCGACGTCCGTCCCTCCGATCCGTTCGTCCCTCCGTCCGTCCGTCCCTCCGTCCGTCCGTCCCGTCCGTCGTCCGTCCCTCCGTCCGTCCCGTCCCTTCCGTCCGTCCGTACCCTCCGTCCGTCCGTCCCTCCAGTCCGTCCGTCCCTCCGTTCCGTCCTCCTCCGTCCGTCCGTCCCGTCCGTCCGTCCGTCCGTCCCTCCGTCCGTTCCGTCCCGTTCCCTCCGTCCGTCCGTCCCTCCGTCCGTCCGGTCCTCCGTCCGTTCGTCCTCTCTGTCCGTCGTCCGTCCGTCCTCCGGTCCGTCCCTCCGTCCGTCCGTCCCTCCGTCCGTCCGTCCCTCCGTCCCGTCCGTCCCTGTCGTCCGTCCGTCCCCTCCGTCCGTCCGTCCCGTCCGTCCCTCCGTCCGTCCCGTCCGTCCGTCCGCTCCGTCCCTCCGTCCGTTCGTCCGTCGATCGCGTCCCTCCGTCAAACGACGCGCTAGCGGCTAACCGTTCACTGTTATCTTTTTCCAAAATTGATAATCCCCAACCGATCTGACGTAGATGTTCGGGAGCTCCTTGAATTTGAATGCTATATTTTAATTTAGGAGTACTTGCATTGAAGCCCCCTGCGGGACCATTTTCAAATTTTGTCCAAAAAATGGCTATTGGTTTTTTTACTTAAATGTGTTGTTGGATGCTGGTGAAGGCGTTTAATACGTATGGCTGCAGACACATTTTCGTTGACAAGCCCCGATTCTTTTTCGAAAAAGATATCCATAAATTCCATTTTATTGTTGAATAACGGTTCTTCATTCAACTAATAACTAATCAACTTATATCTAATCAAATACAATAATACTTATGAATATAACAAACTTTTTTTCCTTAAAGGAAATCTACTCCTTAAAACATATAATTTTCTGAACACGACTAAAGTCATGTACAATTTTTCGAAAATGTGAGTACTTTTCGCATAATTTAGCGTGAAAATAAGGCGAGAACGTACATTCTGTTTTAGCACCACTAGCTATATATCGATTATTTGTGCCTAATGCAATTACCACCTATCTGGAACCTAGAATTGAAAACAGTATGAGATGGAAAGCAATGCACATTGGAAGTTCTTTGAATCCAGGGTAATAACGGATTATTGATATCAGTCAAGTAGATGTGTAAGTGTCAAGTAGTTAGTGCCTAATTGTAAATAATATTGAATCATTAGTGTTATTATGTGGCTCTAGACAGATGAGTAGCTGTTACTGCCACATGCCATCAGTATATTAGGAAAATATGTACCAACCTTAGTACTATGCTCTGCAGAGCGTAATATATTTTAGCAGCGTGGTGAATTTGACGGTGATCGTCAAATTCGATACGTTACATAGCTAGGTCAAATCCATCCGCTATCTAGAGGAGAATTCAAGCTACCGCCTGCTCTCGTAAGTAGTTTTCAGTGCTTTTTCTGATCAACACTTGGCGAATGCTGGAGATGCGCCTAACAAACGGGCCACGGATCGCACGCGATCTTTCCTTCCTCTTTGTTGGTCTATCCTCACACCTTACATATACACTTGCATGCACTACACTACGCCTCCAACATGTACGTGTTGTCGTGAGTTACGAGCGAGTTTCTGCTGGGCCCGAGTTTCTGCTGGGCCGGGGGAGATACGCGGAGATGGGGACACCCTGCAACTCCAAGAGCAGACCGGTGGAACGTTTCCAAAGGGGAGAAACACAGCCACCTCTAGTCTACATTTCATGGAACTAATTATATAGGTAATAACACGAGGCTTTGGAAATTGTTGACTCGCAAAGCGACTCGTCATAAATTCCCGACTCGCGAAACGAAGAGGGGATTTATCTGAGAATTTCCAAAGCACGAGTGGTATTTAATAGGATTATTCCGCGACTGAAATTATGTCCAACAGAATTCCAAAATGCGATAAAATTTGAAAAGAATTGAAAGCGTTGGTTAAAATTAGGATCGGATCTCGATCTCTCTCGAATCTTTACTGGACATCGACGTGGCGATTGATGCATACCCCTCTCCTAAGATAGATGAGTCACAGTTTGTGATTGGTCAGAAGGTAGACGCGGTAAGAAAAATCGGATAGAAAGAGCGATAAATTGTTAAGAAACACCGCCATGATTGGGGCATTTTGTTTGTATAGCTGAACACTATTGGTTTTAATTTCACGAGTGAAATAGTCATTGTAATTATCTCTCCCGGAAACGATAATCAATCGTGACATAAATTCGTATACGTCCAACTTAAAAAAAAATCCGTCTCAATCAGATCCCATACAACATTACGCGCACTGGCTGCCCTATCTTCCACACGCCGCACTCGCCATATTCCAGAAACGCGGGAAACTTACACGAAGGATACTCCGTCCCGGCTGCTCAACCGTTGGCCCGCCGTACTCACCATATTCCAGATGGTAAGGAACTTGCTCATTCCCAGACTGACGAACCAATCATTCTGGTGCGGAGCGGTCGGCGTGTACAGATGGAACGTGACGTAATAATGGTTGAGGCAGGTGTTGAGGAGGCCGGTCCAGTGAAGGAGAGATCGCAACGACGCCATGGCGCTCGGTCGCGCGTCGTCGTCGGCGTACAGTACAACGTAGAGTCGGCGTAAAGTACAACGAGCGCCAGGTCGCTGCCACGGGAGGCCGGGGGGGGGGGCTCGCTGGAGACGACCATCGCGCAATTAGGAAGTGCGCGGACGATAAGTGCGAGCCTTTGTGGCTAGAGCACTAAAGCTCTCCCTTCCCTCTCTCTCTCTCGCTGAATCTTTGACTGTCCCTGTTTGGCTGCCAGTCTCTCTCTTTCTCTACAACTCTCTCTTTTTACCTGCCTCTCTTTGTCGGTCTACCTTTTATTCTATGTATCAATCAGATTGTGTCTGTCTCAATGTCTATCAGTCAATGAATGTCTGTATGTCCATGCATCTGCCTATGTATCTGTCTAAGAGAAAGTACTCGTTTAGAGACGCAAGGGCTATCTCAACATTTGTTCAATGCATCAAGCGAAACGTCGAGCCATCCTACTGACAAAGGGGTCACAGAGAAAAGACGTTGCATATAATAGTTATTAATGAAACCAGTTTTATTATAATGTTTTATCAAAAATGTATCGTTCAATAACTTATCATCGACAACCAAGGAATCATTTTTATTTTATTATTTATAGTATATTAATCAATAGCCAGACATAAATGTGTTGTTTCGATGATAACGACATTCGTTTGTTTCATTGATTTGGCATTAGCTTCAAGCATTTCACAAATGGTTCGGTTAACGTTTATTGTATGCATTGTTTTTGGTTCTGTTTAAAATTGTTTATTGTAAGGATGGTAAATTATTATAAGATAATTATTATAAATGTTTGCACTTACATTTTCAAATTCTATTAATCTTTTGTATTCATGGCTAAAAAATGTTTTTACGGTTAACAAAAAACATGCCTTTCATTATGAAGCTCACAATAACATTCGAATAGGTGCGCTATTAACCTGTCATTGATAAACATTAATGAGGCAGTTTCTCCTCTATAAAAAACTAGTTTCGCCTTCGAGGATATAGATCTCACACAATGGTCGTTTTGGCCTTATTTGTGTCCGAAACTTTGCTCAACGTCGCTTATTTCTCTACAATGGTCAAACAATTTCTAACTCTTACAAACAGTCCCTTTCGTACAGAATTTGAATAGATAGTAGGAAATGTGAACATTATAGTTAAATACCTAATGTAATAAATTATAGGAATACCCAACACACATCACCAAATACATAACCATCGAAAGATATCATTAAAATGTTTCCTAATATCGCAATATTCCATAACAGTAGGCAATTATAATCAAAATATTGAGAGACACAGCTTGAAGGTAATTGCTTTTCACCTTTGCGTACCAAACTTCAAATCTCATCCCTATACAGTATTTGAGTAAATCCCGTCACTCGCTTTCCATGCACCAATCGAGAAGTATGAGGAGTCACTTGATGCGGCTCTGTCACCTGATGGGAGACTGCTAATTTGTTTTCGAATCCGGTCAGAAGATTCAAAGAAATGTTCAAAAACATGTTTTTTCGTGTTTTGGCACTGCAATCTTTGTGATAATGCCTGGAATTAAACCAACTACTACTACTAAATCAATTACTAAATCGATCTCTGTGGGTGGCATTGATTAAACACCAGTACCCAATCACATTTTGAGCAAAATACGCCATAATTTTCGTTCATAGCGTTGGCAATACTGATGTTGACATCTTTAAGTGAACAATTTAATTACCAAGTAAATCGCGCTACAGTTTGATTTCAATTTAGAGTCGAATTAACGTATTTTTAAAAATAAATTTGGAAACACCTACGACCAGTATTGTCTCGGAACTTATTAAACTTTAAAAATTTCAAGTGAATACGGAGAAAACAAAACTGTGAGTAATGCTAGAGAATGAATGAACGTAATGTTAGACTACTCACTTTTACGTTCTTACACAAGTGTGCAGATACCGATATTCAAATGAATGTGACTCATAACTAATGTTTATTAAACTTAACTAACATCTTATTAACATAAACATACAAAATAGTCGCATTTTAATATTATATTTGCATGCATAGCTAGATTACCACACAAAACAATTAATAGAGCAATTGCGGAAGTAGAAATGATCACAAGTTTGTGAAGTTTCAATCTTTTCAAATATTAGGGGAGAAAAATATAGAAGTGTTAAGGAAATCCGGAGAAGAATCAAAAGTAGTTGTAAAAGATGTTGCGACAGAATTTTCATAACCAATTGTGAATGATCTGAATTTTTGTATTTCGCACTTGTGCTAATGCAAATTTGCTACGTGCATTTTTGTGTATATTAGCAAAATAACGAAAAAATGTAGAGGTACTAAAATTTAACTATTATCAAATCCTATAAGTAATTGTTATGGCGATTGTTATTTAGAAATTTCAATAAGACCAGTTTATATCCCGTATAAAGATACACAGGATAACATTCAAGACTATTGGGTGTTAACTTCGGATCGGGAGTATAACATTATCAGCATCTACGATTCATTAGTATGTCCAATGCTAGATACTAAAAGAACATATTTGAACAAATCAGGGCATAAAAGAAATGATGTATGACATAAATTTTCGACACATGAAACAATTTTTAAAACAGTTTACAGCGTCGAAGACGCCACATTTTACTAGTTTTAATTATAGATCTAAATTTCTGTTCAAATGTCAGCTTAAATGTCAGTTGATTTACGATTTTCCCACCACAACGTTTTTATAATTATACGCGTCAGTCTTATCATCATCAATGCTGCTGCTGCTGCTAATAATAATAATAATAATAATAATAATAATAATAATAATAATAATAATAATAAAGTCGGCCCCGTGACGTAGACGTTTGCGCAGAGAAGGCTGCAGGTTCGAGTCCTGCGTAGACATGGTCGTATTTTAGTGATTGTTCTTTCACCGTTCACCATCCTTTCACCTCATAACTCATAAGCCAAAGGCGTAACAACCTTGGCTTACCAAGGGATACAGCCGAAGAAAGCCGATTCCCATAATGACACATGTTAATCTCTCCGGGACAGAGACGCACTTCTTATACTGGGATCGGTCTATTGTGATTAATAAAGTAGTTGATCATAACTGCCCTGACATCCTCACAATAGACAAAGAAAGGAAAACAGCTTCTATAATCGATGTTGCCATCTCTTTGGCTCACAACTTGCGGAAGTCCCAAGCGGAAAAACTCAGAAAGTACTTTGCAACTCAATTAAAAAAAACATTTAGAAGTTACACGAGGTCTTTCATTTCCCCATGGTCATATCAGTCGAAGGAATCGTCACCATGAACATTCAAAGAAATCTGGAGAATTTAGATATCTAAAATATCTTTGACGAACCACAGAAAGCGACCCTTTTTCAAACATGTCATATGGTCAGAAATTTCTTAAACTCGAGACATTCATGTCTGTCAGGATGAATTTCCTTCCTGCGCAGTTCGAGCCTAGTCATATAATATCAAATCAATTGGACAGGTGAATGTTTTCCGTGCTAAAGCAGAAAATGTGTGAAAAATCAAAATAATAATAATAATAAATAATAATAATAATTATTATTATTATTATAATGATTATAATTATTATTATTATTATAATTATTATACTGATTATAATAATAATAATAATAATAATAATAATAATAATAATAATAATAATAATTATTATTATTATTATTATTATTATTGCTTTCTTTTGCATTTCAATATACATCTATTTTTAATTACACTCAAATTTCACGTTGCCAACTTTCGAGAAGACACGTTATTAATACAATGCACAACGCCAGTATAAAATGCGTGAACTTCTGTAACAGTCCCATTTTATTGCTAGTACTTTCAAATTTCGCGCCAAGCATGTGCCGGCACATTCTCATTGGCCCGGCCCCCTACTACGACGAGCCTTACCCCCACCACTCCTCTCTCCCCTGGCGCTGCACGTGAGTCGCGTCACAGTGCAAACGGCTGTGCACAGCTTCGCCTGTAGTTAACTTGTCGAGTCCCCTCCAAGGATGAATAACAAAACCAAGCAAACGGGAAAGGTACAAAAGTCGTCTATAGTATGGAAATAAGAGGTTATAAAATATCTGAGAAGAAATTGGAACAAAGAAGAAGAAGTTATGGAAAAAGATACATTTAGAAAGAAGCTGTTATAAATGTAAAGATTTCAATGTAGAAGGGAAAAGGAACAGATACAAAGTGGTCCGATACGAGAAACAATTAACAGAGTTAAAGATAAAGGAGTATTGGAAAGAGAGGAATAGAAAACACTAAAAATGAGAAATTGAAAATGGCACGTGATTTGTAGGAGGGGGGGGGGGACTTTTGAAGGACAAGAATATGAAGAAGAACAGGAGGAGGAAAACGAAAAAGAGAAGCGGAAGTAGAGAATAGGAAAAGAACAAAAAAAAAAAAAAAAA